GTTTCAGTTTCATACTGTTGTTAATTTTGTAGGGTGAATCCGCCATATTCCACAAGTGGTTCATCTGAGTTAACTCAAAATTTATCAAGCTGCAATAAAACATTCGCTAAGTACAGCCGAACCAGAGCTACAAGACGTCCCACCATGGCATTTAGTGTGACAATGCCTGATTCAGGCCGTTCGACGCGCATACATTCTGCCAGTAGCAAAGTTCCCACATAGGGCCATTTTGACATGGTGCACGGTGTCTTTCCCACGAATTTCTTTGAAAAGGAGGAACAATCTTAGAAACTAATGTTTTCTCTTCTGATCTGGATTGAAGCGGGGTAATGGCACCATCCACTTGCTTTTACTCGCTCCAAGAGACCATTTAAGCAAGCCACAACTCCACAGAATCTGACTCTCTGCAGCGCATGGATGTAAAACCGCAGCAACAAGCAGGGTCGAACAAAGGCCTTTTCGGGCACCTGAGATATGCCATTTATGACTCCGTAATTTTAGAAACTCTACTGTTACTATTTTAGGGCACGCACAGTCATAGACAGTCAAGAAGAAGCCGGCTATCAAACGGCTTTTCACAAGGTACTAAAGCTACGTCGTGAAGCGATAAACAGAGTAGCTCCAGAAATATTAATTCCCCGGTTCCATCTAGCTGAACGCTAGACTGCAAGCCTGGCACGACCACTATTCCATATCTACATCGATCTAATAGAGGAACTTAATGTTGACACTGCAACTGACCAATTATTCGAGGAACGGTGACATATCAAAATCAAAACTGAGTGCGCCAAAGTGATACAATCTTGGCCGTTTCTACTAAGCTTTTTTAACGATGGTGCTGGAATATTTCTTTACCCGTGTGAACTTGAACTGCACAGTTGACATCGGTGGATAATGGCTCGCTCATTGAGAATAACGTCCTCTTCTTCTCCAAAGATCCGGCAGAACTCAAAACAAAGATTGAGCAGTTACAGAACAAGCTACGCTTCATCCGTTTGGAGGTGAACACCTCCAATCCGAAATAAATGCGGACAGAGCATTGAAGAAGTGAAGACCAGTGAAGAAGTGAAAATAGTCGCTAGCTACGAATACATCGGTCACGATTAAACTTTAATCACAACATCAACAAAGAAATCAATGGAAGAAAGAAGGAGGCATGGGCAATCACGTCAACAACAGAGCTGGATAGCGAACTGCCACGTCCACGAGAAATGAACTGTTCGACTACGCCGTTCTGTCCGCCATGACTTATGATGCGTTGCTGGTCTACCAGAAAGACTGATAGAATAACTGGTGGTAACGCAAAGCACGATGGAAATAAGAATATGCAAGGTCTCCCGACGAGACATTATTTCGACTGAAATAATTGGGCGTCAGATAGGTCTTTTGGATCTTCTCATTTCAGCCTATAACTCGACGACTTTCTGGCCATTTCGTTTATCTAAAAGGCAACAGGTGGACATTCAAAGTTACTAACTGGACGCTCGATAAAACAAATCCACTTGATGGACAACCAACACAAAGCTGTTTGGTCAGTGGTGGATGCAAACCACAAAACAGTGAGAAGAGTGATCGAACATCGACTTGCGTCTGTGTAGAGACGGCTGACCCAAAAAAATCTGATAAAAATTGAAAGATATTTTCCAACGTTTCGGATCATGTTCGAACAGTTTTAATCAAGTAGCATGATATAAACAATCAGTATTATCTGGCGGGATACAGTCAGGTAGCAACTTTCACTATGAATGTTTTAGTCATTACAGTAACAGTTGCTCAATTGTTTCATTACTGTGGGAGCTTAATTCAATGTCAATGCCAGTATTCTCGCATTGGTTCTATTGAACTTGCACGGCGTCCTCTATCTTCCGGCTCACTCGATGTAGTCCTTTTGTTTGGCACCATGTTTCAGACTCGCTCAGTTTCTTCCGCATTCTAAATTCACCTGGTACAGATCTTCAATTAGCACTTCAATTAGCATCTATACCACAAGATGCCTCCTGCGTCATTTTGTTTGTTATTGTTGTTAGAACCACCTCGCGCTCATCATGAACCATATATAATGACCTGATAATTGCTATTTGCTAATATATAAACAATATTGGCCAGTGTCTCATTATGAATAACTCATCGAACAAAATTTTCATGTTGTGTTGCAGAGCCCCATACCCTAAACAATCAGTAACACATTAGTATATTGCTGTTACCTAATTTACATCAGTACAGCCGCAGAAAATGTCTAAGGAGTTATTAAAAGGGATATATCAGAATATCACGCAGGACCTTGTTTCTATAGACTCACGCGTGGCGGATTCAAGCAGACTAATACGCTGTTTTAGATGCAGGACATTGTTGCTTTAAGCAACAGTGATGGACCCAAACAGATTCTAATACATCATGAAACTGAACTAGCACATTCGCTTCAAAATTCGAGATGCACCCAGTATCCCAGATGTTCAAATATCATGGAGCAGTGTCGTGCTTAAATGCCCCCTCCGCCACTCTCAAGCAACTAAAATTAAAGCAGCGGTACAGAATACCATGAAACCGGGTCTTGGAGGGGTCATTATTTGACATACTCGGACGCATGAATAATGTTATAATTATGATAATAATGTTATAATGTTTAAGAATATTTAGGACTACAACTCACCCAAATCAACATTACTCAGACTAAAGTAGGTTTCTGTTTCAGATTAGAAATGTTTCTGTACACCGTATACGACACCAAAGTAGCGGTAAAGGAAAGGTTGGAAGTTTGACTCGCGTTTTACTCTCTTACTTAGTTTCCAGCGGGATGGAAGTTTTACTAGTCTGTTATTTGATTAGAAAGATGCATCAAACCTAATCGGGAAAAGTTTATTCATTGAGGATACGACAAACGGCGAAATTTTATTGAGGAACTCGAAGCTCGTAAACACCATGTCTATCAACAATCAGAGATGAGCTTAATCCAGGAAGAACGGGCGTTCAGCGGAAGTTTATTCAAGCATTAGCAACCGAATCACGTGCCTGCCAAGGAGAGAGAAGCGACATTTTTCGATGCGTCATCGACTTCTTTCGTGTCACAGAGTGAAGTCTCCGCTGTCGAAGCTTTTGTGTGTGTTTCAGAAGGGGAATTTAAGCAGTTTGCTTGCTTGATCATAACTCCGGATTCGTCGTCACTGATTTCATCAATGTCAGACAGGTCTTCGTCGAGAAACAGCTCCTCGTCTACTTTAGCTCCGATGGTTTTCAAAAACATGTCCTCGTTTATTTCCATACCAACGTCATCTTCCTTAATCACAAAATAAGGTAATAATCAGCTTTCAAATAACGGATCATCCAAAAATATGATTAAACACCTTAATGCAGTACAGCATACCGACGGAACGAATAAAACAGATGGGAAACACGATTTAACAATCTCATAAGAGAATGAAGAGAAATCATCTTTTCGTCATTTGAAAGGTAAGGATTTAAGAAACCTGAGGAAAAAACATTGCCAAACATTGTAAAAGCTCGCCGTGTATTTCGAATGAACTGAGGATTACCTTTATCTTCATAATCATTTACGAAACAAAACCTATAACAAAATTACCCGCTACCGAGGTACAGCGTGGATTATCACGAAAGCGTGACTTTATTTAATAAATCACTACTTCACCCAGTTCCAAACTAATAAGTCGCTTGATCTGAGTGCCAAGAAGTGCAAAGGTCTGCATCTTCTTGCAATAACTAACACCCAGGTACTCAAGATCAGTGAGATGGTGTGACGATGCATCTTCTTACTTGTCATCTACTTTTGCAGGGGATAACATTTAGTGGATTCATCGGTAAGCTGTCGGAGAGAACAGTGACGAAGTTGTTGATTCACCCGAGCAGATACGTGCGAGAGTCAACATATTTGAACAACAGACAACAGAATTTTGCAACGATTTTCTTGTAAAACTTGAACTGACGTCGGCTCTGGGCGTTTTTCGCTGCTGAAGCCATAGACGTTCTGTTTATTCATGGCTGAGGGCAGAAAACGACGTAGAACGTCAAAACTTTATTGCGACTGCGCTTAGCCACCCCTCCTCAGCAATCGCATTTAGGCAAATCACCGGTAATACCGCTGTAGTAACGGCAAGTTAGAATTAAACTTTTCCCATAAGCTTTGTTTGGTGCACTCAGCTATGAATCAACGAAACAGCTGGAATTTCAGTTACGCTTCTGGATATAATCCCGCTATGATCCGTTTTCGGTCAGCAGGTCATTCAAAAAAAACGGCATGACTGAATCTCGGAAGAATTCAACGCAAGCCATAAGCGTGTTCTGCATACATACATGCATACATATATACAGTAGATCCTACTAATCGGATGAAGGAAAGCACAAGTAGTGTGCTGCTCATGATGTCGCCTTAGCAACAGTGCTCACTGTACCACGTTAAAATCTCGATATGAACAAATTAAAGGGCAAACTCGTATGAGGTATCGAGATTTATGCTGCTCCTACTGCTACTCCGAACAGCCGCTTCTGCTCCGAATAAAACAATTTTTTCACCTGCAAGACATTATATTTACGACAGTTGTGACAGCTATGAGTTAACGACATCTCTGTCTCTGGTAACTGTTTTCTTCAGTCAGAATAATGGCCTCAGCCAGAGCTAGGACCTTCACTATGAGCAGGTCAGTTCAATGGCCTACGATTAATTCGTAATGACTACAAGCGGTAAACTTTCGTTCCGGTCTCCTGAACTCAGCCATAACAAAAACTATGATACTGACCAAGGCCGCCCTCGCCCTTTCTACGGGAAGTGTGTGAAAGTCGAGGATAAGCATTCTAATGGCTTGAAAAGAATTACCTGAACACAGTGTTTAGTTAAGACCCAAGTATCTTATGCTGCACTTTAAATACTATGACATACCCTGGATTACCTAACAAATTATCCATTGCTTCAAGTGAGAACTAGATCCATTCATAAAATTAAACTAGAAGTATTTCACAGATTAAAACAGTCATTTGGATTATGAAACTATTCATGAAACATTTACCTCATTTTCTTCTTCTTCAGCTTTATATCGAATATCGTCGGCTTCCTCGTCATCTTGGGCCATCAGGTCAGGATTAAAGGTAAAAAGTTCGCGACCGCTCAGACCCAACTCTTTGCCGGAAATATATTCGCTCCGTTTCCGCTTCTCTTCAGCACATTTTTCTTTCAGTCTTTCTTTTCGTTTTCGTTCTTTCCATTTCAGAAAGGAATCCAGCGTAATTTTTGACAAACTGTCGCCAAGAGCAGCGCGTTCTTTCTCGATCAGCTCTTCGAGGCTCACCTCCGGCAGTCCAGTTTTCATATGTTCCAACTTTGCTCTGTCTTTCTTCAGAACATACCCGTTAGGAATCGCGTGCCTAAAAGTCACGGGAAATCTTTCAATGCCGCCAATATGAATTTATTTACAACTAAAAAAAGAAAACAAATACTTTAAACAGAAAATACAATTTAAATAAATTTATTACACATGCACAACTACGAAAAAATTTTCTTTAATACAATGATTACGGTTGGAGAGTACTGAATTCAAGCTTGAACAAAATTCTGCTTTTTATAAAACAGCTAATTTAAAAACCTAAAAATACATGAGACTTAATTAAAGTGATTAGAAATAAAGCATCAGAAACAATACAGAACTGCTCGTTTAGCCGTTCATTATGACGATCTAAGACCTACCTCATTACCATCTGTTCGATTATTGGAACAAATTAAAATCATTTTTCTTTTGTTCATAAAAAATGACCCCTTTATATATTTGATTTTGTTGCCTTATTATTATCATATCACCGGAGGAGTTGGATGCTCATTTTGCATTCTCATGAGTATGATAAAACAAACAGCTAAGCTCGTTTTCAAGTCGACATTCATCCCAATGTTAACCTACGGTCATGAGTTGTGGGCCATGACCGATAAGCTTCTATACCCGGTACAAGGCGCTGAAATGGGCTTTCTCAGAAGAATCGCTGATTTACA